TGTGGTGATGAGGCTCATACGGGAAATTACCCTCTGCCTCTAATTGAAGAACATTGAACTGCAGAATGGAACAGGTTTGAAAAAAGTAACTGAGAAGTATTCGTCTGTCTTTATGAAGTTATACTGTGACAATGCAAGTCATGTCAAGATCAACGGTGAGCTTTCAACACTGCTGTCTCCAGTGGGGTGCGACGGACTGACCCATTCCCATTTCTTTCTAACGCTGATATACAGGATGATTCTTAAAATGCTATGTCGAATCTCAAAAACGCTCGAGTCAATTTACTCCAAAGGAACAGAGTTCTTAATATGGAATGTGCTGATGAAAACGCCTTGCCAATAAATAGTCTGATTTGCAGTGACCCGCAGGCGAGGAACTTGTGCTCTCCCAACTGAGATGAAGTAACTATGGGCTTTGAGTATTTCATGAACTGTATCGCACACAGTGGGGTTGGGGAAGGGATCACACCACGAACAGCGAAAAATAGAGCAGCTCTGCGACACCCGTGGCGCGGTCATGAAATCCAATTTCCTCTTGAGGAAAGGGTGCACATCGTGATGCCTTGCGTGACTGCTGTGAAACAGTCTCTTCTAGTTGAAGATACTAATCGACTTTCTGTATTCGTCCTCGAAGCATTGTTGCTGTCTGATCGGAACACCCGGAGAGGTGCATCGACATCTGTTGAGTGGTGACATTGGTCTTCTGAGGGATGAAATCGATCACCGTTTACAATGTTTCGGGCATGCTTCACTTTCATTTTTCTGAGATTTCCAGTCACTGCTTAGGATTTTCCCGAAATGCATACTTGATCTAGTGTAAGTCCAGAGCGATTCTAAAATCTGTGTGCGGCTTGTTTAGTGCGACACTCGCCACGAGCTAGGGTAGATAAAATGATCTGCATACGCGTTGAAAAACGCGCCAACTTGCATATCATGCAAAGAGGTATGGATAAGCGGGTTTCAGCGTTGACTTCGGCTGATGCGGCCCGCTTTCCAAGTCGGAGCCCGAGGGATGAGAATATGGCCCAGAATAGAAGTCAATAGCACGATTTGCAGTCTGCCATTTGAAATCATGTGCCCATTGAAAGACGATAAACTATCATACGAATATATCAAAAAATGTACGAAGAAACAGAAAAATGCTGTTACTCTTGTTTTCAACTGCCACTGCTTGACTCCATTTCACTGTGTTTTGCATCCCAGGCTCTTTGTTCTGTTACTTTTGTTGCGTTGTCTCCGTGCTTGTTCGCAAACCCGTTATATATATTTATTTATATATACATTCGTCACAACACAACACCGGGTGTTTGACGCGCGGCAAGAACCGCGAAACCGGCCGTGTGCTTCCAGGGAAGTTTTGTCCAGTCATTCACATACTGCTTATTATGAAATATATATCTTTAACGAGAGACAGGAACGAAGAAGAAAACAGACTGGTTCTTCACATACATCATTTATTTACAAGAGTTGACGAAAGAGGGCTCATTGCATCATGACATCCATGTACAACTGTTTCCCAACACGCACATAATCGGCTCGTTCTTGCGGTGTCATTCGCTTGATCATGGGCCCCGTTATTTCCGCGTATGGTATCATGCGACCGCCGAGGCAAACAAGAAACTCTTGCTTATCCGGGGGTTCAAGAGAATTTTGTTCGATGTTTGCTAGAAAACATGCAAATGGGTAAACACGATTTGGGTTAGAGTAAGCAACATCAGATGGAAGTAAACATGAACAACGGGGAGGAAAATGTAAACTCGCTAAACGGCGCATCACTTGACAGATTCGGTAGCATACTACAGGATCGATCTACTGAATGCACCAAGGATTAGGACACTGACTTGAGGTTTGTGTGACACGGCGGCACTGGATAGAGCAGGCCTCACTATTCATAACTAAAACTATACTATTTTGAAAGCAGTCACATCATGTTTAATTCATATGATGTTTCTCAGACACCAACACACAGTCACCTGGTAACAACAGCTCGCATCTTGGCAAATACTGTTCGGCGTACCGATAACTGACACGATTGGTGACAATCTACAAGACAGATCTTACAACACTACTATTGTTGCCGCAAACAAAAACTCACAAACTTTGCGCAGTGGTTTTATCAACTGTCAACATGGCAATCTACTTGCTTTTTATCCAAATGGATAGCCTAAAGACAGCAACAGAAATCAAACGATTGTAAAAACCGAAACGGTTAGATGTCAACTATCAAATAACAATCGAAAAAGGGAAATCACAAAGGATAACAACCTTGGTGACAGTGAGCCACTTGGCTCAACAATTTTGAAGGGGGGGAAAACAGGGATGAGAAAGTCGCTAGAGGAGTACTGTGCACAGTTACTTGTGTTCTCTTAGGTGGTGGTGGCGCAGTGGTTTAGTCGCCGTCACCGGCGTGCTTGGGACCCTGTGGTCCGAGGTTCAAGTCCGCGCAACCGCCCCCGACTTTGGTGATAGGCAGCATTACTGACGCCCGGTTACCATCACTGAACAGCAGGTCTTCGTGCAGATCGGGTCCGCCCCCACTGCTGTGTAATAAAAACAAACAAACATTGAACTAATTCCGCCATGAAAGTCCAACCAGAGATGCACAACCGGTGCCGGCTGAAACGATGGACACTGATCAGAGAGCACTCGAGGATGGATATGCACAAAAACACAGTCAGAAGAAAAGGCTTTCGGTACGGAAACTTGAACTCAGAAAAAAAGTAAACGAAAGACAGGAGTTCAAAACATGGTTTAACCGGTCAGCCCAATCGGCTCCGCAACCGAAGTCCCCCGCTATCGGGTATTTTCGTGGAAGAAAGTGCAGGCGGAAAACAGATGAATTACACAGTTTGTATATATTTGTACACAGAATTATGAGATTAGGCGAATTCTGTTCGGCACGGTTAAAATGTGACAATCACAAATGGTGCCAAATGCCGGGAATCGATGCAAATAGTAACTGTACATACTGGACATACCTGCGGAATGATCGGAGTACGAAGGTTGGACCGGGTTTTTCGAAGGTTGATTTTTCGCTGTGATGGAAAAGAAGGTACGATTAGTGCCAGGATAGGGCGAATAAATGGAGATATGACAAGCTGGTACAGACTGAGGGAATGCAGCAATGGATGAACAAACAGAGCTGCAGATTTATATACGCTGCTCGACTAACACACATGTCAAGCGAATTGGACTCCAACAAGCCATCTTTCACTGAGTGGTTTGAAGAGTTGATCTACGAGTCCATTCATTTTGAATCGGCCAAGGTGAGAAGTACGGGCATAAAGGGACAGCGCAAAGATGCGCGAACACTTGCTGCCGTCCCTGAGTCTATATGTCTCCAGTTATTGCTGTTGTATTGGAACCGTGTTTATTATATATATATATATATATATATATATATATATATATATATATCACAGTACCAATGCAACAACGATGAGGTGGGTGGATTCCGGTACAGAATAGAGCCATACGGAGACCAAACAGTTACCATTGAGTTTGCTTTATCGTATACTTTTCAATATTTTTGTGTTCATCGCTTCTTACGGGTCAACGGATTTCAACGATCAGATCAAAGAACATTCACACCACCAGCTTCTATTCTGAGCCATATCTCTCAGCGTCTCCAACCAACGACAATCCTCGGCCCATGGGCCCCAACCCGGAGGACCGACTGCACCAACCCAATCCAAATCTGAAGCCAGATTCTTCATACCTTCACTCCATGTCATGGTCTGACCGCCGCAGCGCTTCTTCCAGCCTTGCCCGGCATGTGCAAAGAGAGCACGGAAAGATATTCAATGGGCAGGCATACGCAATACGTGATCAAGCCATCGGAGGTGGTGTAGAGTGATTACTTCTGTTAGGAAACGACTATCCGCACCCAGCACACAACGAAGAACCTCGTCATCATTCACCCGCGCGGATGTCTGAGAATACAATGATCGTCGGTTCGGTGTAGCCAACCGTGGAGTCGAACTCCTCAAAGAGAATGGAGTTCTTGACTTAAAACATGCTGATGACATCGCCTTACCGGGTGATAATACACAAGCAGTCCAACACGCTTTGACCCGCTAGGCGATAGAAGTGTCCATAGTATCATCCAAAAGAAAAGTGCTTGTGCAAGACTAGCAGGAGCATGCGCCTGTACTAACCCTCGGTGGTGATCAACTGGAAGTGATGTTGGGGGGCAGGGAGATCACATCACGAATAGCAGACGCTAAGGTAGCGTTTGCTAAACTGCGAGGCCTGAAGCGTCGCCATGGCATCCAACTCTACCTTAAGAAAAGGGTGAACATCGTCGCGGTTCGTAGTGTTCTGCTTTACGGCTGCGAGACCTGGCTCCTCCGCGTTGAGGACGCCAATCTGTATTCGACCACCGATGTCTCCGAAGCATCGTTCGTGTTTGGTGGGGATATTGGGTGATCAATGACGAGGTTCATTGTCGTCTGTTGGTTGCGAATACTCGTTCTATAAAAGAGGTAATCACCCTACACCACCCACAATGGGTTGATCACGTTTTGCGTAAGCCTGCCCATAATGTACCTTTCCGTGTCCTAAAGTTATGAAGAATCTAGCTTCAAATTTGGCTTCCGTTGGTGCAGTCCGCCTTTCAGGTTGGGTCCAAATGGATGAGGATTGTTGTTGGTTAGAGATGCTGAGAGATATGGCCCAGAATATAAATCAGTGTCGCAAACGCTGCACGGTTCGCCTGTTGAAATCCCGTGCCCCGTAAAGAACAGCAATAAACCGAAACACAAAAACATCATATTTACGGTGAAAACGTTATTCTCGTTGTTCACCTCAAATGTTTGAACCCATCCAATTCTGGTTTGCATCCCAAAACCCGATCTTCTGTTATTCTTGTTGTTGCGATGGAACCAGGCTTGCTTGCAAGCTGGTGATAAAGAAGTATCTGTATGTAATATACATCGGAGGTGATGTGGGACAATTACTTTTATCAAAGAACGAGTATTCGCAACCAACAGACGACAATGAACCTCGTCATTGATCACCCAATATCCCCACCAAACACGAACGATGCTTCGGAGACATCGGTGGTCGAATACAGATTGGCGTCCTCAACGCGGAGGAGCCAGGTCTCGCAGCCGTAAAGCAGAACACTACGAACCGCGACGATGTTCACCCTTTTCTTAAGGTAGAGTTGGATGCCATGGCGGCGCTTCAGGCCTCGCAGTTTAGCAAACGCTACCTTAGCGTCTGCTATCCGTGATGTGATCTCTTCCCCAACACCACCACCAACTGCGATCAAGCTCCTGAGGTACTTATACCTCCTAAGGACCACCGAGAGTGAGTGCAGGTACAGGAACCTGCCAGCCTTAAACAAGCAATTGAACCTCCACGTGGTTTTCTCCAACCTGAGACAGCAACTGTGAACAGGGCGCAATGCAGTAGGTAACCGTTGACCGCAAAAAATGTCCTAACGAGCGAACCCTAATAATCTGAATTCGAATTAGTAGCAAGATTATCTCCGACAAATTCCCAAACAGAACTAGTTTTCTTACCCATTTACTGCACTTACTCTACGTAGGTATGGGCCACTTTTACTCGCGAATTCAAGGTCTCAAACCCGAATGATGGCGCAGTATATGCAACTTTTCAACTTCAGTGCAACGTCACGTCGCTACAAAGGTGCTTCAGTTCTGAGTACGCCGCTCCAGCCTTGGAAACCAGGTGGTTATCTCCTTTGCTGCGCTACCGTTATTGGTTACACAACTCCCTAAGCGGGAAAAGCGATCCACTATAACTAATTCATAGCCATTTAGCGAGGCTAGGTGAAACCCAGTCTTGCAGCATCACTTTGAAGGTGCAAAGCAAATACCAGATGGAGTTACATAACTTGAAAGTCTGTGCATATGAGTACAGTGACCTCATGAAGTTAACGTACTTCTGGGGCAATCTCTTTCGAAGAACGGAACCCATCAAAGCTCCGCGGTCAACTAAGTCGAAGGCTGATTCAGGTCAAGGAACACTGCGATCGGTGGTTGACGGTGGGTGTGACGCAGTTGAAGGACCTGACGCAAAATAAAAATCTGATCAATTCATCCACATCGAGGGCGGAATATGACTTTTCGTTCACGGATGTTGATCCCTCTTAAAGGAGTCAGACGTCAAAGTACGACGAACACCAACACTAAGGTGACGATTGGGAACAAACTTATCCTGCGGTAGGTTTCTCTATCGTTATTGCTCAACGACGGTTGTGTCGGGCGTTGGGACTTGACAGGGACAGATGGTGGTTGGCGCAGAACTGAAGGAGTCCATAGCCATTATCTGTTCGCTGGCAAGATAGAGCACAATAATCGAACAGTACGGAGTTAATCCTTCAAAACTTGGGGATTTACCTCCTCCTCGTCACCGAGGGATTTTCTGTCTTCAGTGATTTCACAGCTGACTACATATAATTCAATGTATCACACCACTTCTAATCAATCAAGTGATCTACAGAATCAGGCGTATTCAGCAGCAAAGGTTTCTTCTTGCCAACGCCATTCAAACGTGGAGAATGAGCCTTTGTAAGTCACCAACTTCTTCTTCAGTGGGTTACCGGATGGGCCTGAACCTACGCACGCACAAGGATTTGATGTGCCGTTTTCATTCCCAGTTTCAGCATCACGCTATAATGGATAACTTTGGATAGGCGAGGCTCATTGGGGATTGTATCACGATACAGTTTAACTCAGTCGCTGTTCTGTAACGGTTAGAGGCCACCGAGTCTTTTCATGGGTGCTGAAAACACGTTTGTGATTATCAATCAGTTTAACTTTGTAAAAGATGTTAAATATTCATCGCTTTCGTATTGGATGCTGACAACGCACTTTCCTAGGATGTTACACGGATGCTCATCTGAGGGTTCCCTCCGTACGTGTATTTCAGTCTCATGCGAAGAGAACCGTGTCGAGATGACACACGCTGTTGACCACGTTCTGTAGTTCGCTGCAGAACACCTCGTTGGGAGGTGGTGGCGAAGTGGTTAGGTCACCAACTTATAACCCGGACGCCCCGGGTTTGAGCCTCTTCACCGCCGCCCGTCTTCCCTATTTCTTTACTTTCCCTAGGCAGTCTTTGTATGGCCGCAGCCCCCCCTTCCTGAAAGTTGACTGTACATTTGTAAAATCAATAAATAGAAAAAGGAAGTAAAAGACATTTACATTTTATTTTTCTACGTTCGTATTGCTGTCCAGAAAGGTAACGTACGATCAGGAACCACAATGATGCGAGACAACTGCCTGAATAGCCGAAAGGTTCTTAATACGAATCCCGGTCATTCTGTGAGCTCTTAATTCAACTGCTTCCCGTAAATAATTGAATAACATCAAAAATAGAAAGTTTTGTTAAACCATTAGTCATCACTATTATTTTTTGGGTAAGACACCCGACTACTTGGTGCTATTTCAGTAAATAATAATAACCAAATAAAACCTATTGTGGGATTCGAGAACTAAAGAATTGAGATATGTGGAGGATTTATTGAGAACCATCTTTATACAATCTAGAAAACTTTGTGAATAACACAACGTTGCTGAAAAGAATTTATGTATTGCTCAACATTTCGGCCAACTTGATACGGTGTGAGTGGTCTGCGTTGCCCACTGGAATTCAACCCTTTTCTAACAACATCCAGTTCGACCGAGGTTAAGACTCTTCTACTCGACAAATTATTCACAACTTTCTCTGCATTTGTCTGCGAGATACTTGGTGGCTTGGTCCCAATAATGCAGTTTTTCAAATTTCCGTTTCTGCGGAGTTCCCGCATTACGAACGAAGATTTGTTCCCTGGTTGTGATGATATCCAGTATGGAGCTCGGTACTTTCTCCGGTAAACGTTGTTAGATTGATTGATCCAAGAATTCACATCGGAGACAAATATAATTTAGATGGAAGTTGGAAGAGTATATTCGTTGTTTGAGAAACGTACGTGAGGCTGTGTGCCGTATAGTTTAAACGGAGTTTCTAATCAAGTGGCTCGATGTG